GCCCGCGGCCTCGGGGATGGGTGAGACGAAGCCCGCGACCAAGGGGTCGGGCGAGCCGTAGCCTGCGACCAAGGGGTCGGGCGAGCCTCTCTTCAAGTGCGGCAGCGCCGCACCATGCAAGACATCAAGGGTAATAGTGAAGTGTAGACTATCTTGGCTATGAATCTGAGGATGCATGTGGTTATTTGAGCACTTGGTAGCACATATTACCTTAAGCATTATGTCCCCTTTATAGTATGGCTTTTTCTATACTCAAATTCAAGATATAAAAGAATCTTAAACCTCTTTTGAGTTTGAAGTCATCTGTATTTGTAATTGGGGGCTCCTCCATTTTGTTTAGCATCCTTGAATATCTATTCTCTGCTTGGGCAGTTATTCCCAGTGGTGTCCATCTAGCATTATTCTGTTTGGGCAGTTATGATGCTAGTGTTATTTTGCTGCCGCGAGAATATTGTTATCTTGTTAAGCCTAGATCCTCTGGGCCCCAACTTTGTTGCGTTAGTTCTCTTGTGGGCCTAGCTCGTGGATCTTGCTGCGCCACCCTGAGTTGGGCCAGATAGAAGTGGTTTTAGCCTTTGTTTTGAAACTTGGTTTTAGCCTTTTGGTCCTCATGCGGGCCTCTGGGCGATCGCCAGTTGATCAGAGTTGTGTTCTCTCGCCATTTGCACAAGTATTCTTTGTGTTTTCATGTAAAAGCTCATGTATACAAATAAACTCTGAGTACGAGTGAGAATAAGTTATTTGAAACTAAATATGTGTGTAATAAATGCAAGTTCTTCTTTATTCTTGAGATAGTTGATGGTCGAATTTTGATACTCAATGACTGTCAACATGGTTTGCCATATCTAGTTGTAAACCTGTTAGCACTTCTTTGTCAACTAGTGAAAATATCTACCTTTGAGGAGGTACCCTTGGGACCTAATGATGCTACTCAATATAGGAGCATAGTTGGTGCACTTCGATACCTAACACTTACTTCGCCTATATAGCTTTTCCTTGTAAGCAAGGTCTGTCAATATTTACATGCTCCTACTATCATTGGACTGTTGTGAAGAGAATTTTGAGGTACTTAAAACAGAAAAAAAAACAATGTCCCAAGATTGAACTAAAAATTGGTAAGTCAAAGTCTCTTTTGATTAGTGCATTCTCAGATGCAAATTGGGCTTGATGCCTAGATGATAGAAGGTCTACATATGTTTTTTTCATATTTCTTGGTTCTAATCTTGTCTCATGGAGTCCAGCGAAACAGGCTACGGTGTCCAGGTCAAGTACTGTGGCAGAACATAAGGCTGTCGCAAACCATATTTCTTGGTTCTAATCTTGTTTGATGGATTCCACCGAAATGGGCTAAGGTGTCCACGTCGAGTTCTGTGGCAGAATATAAGGCTGTCGCTAATGCCACCGCAGAAATAATGTTGATATAAATCTTTGTTGCAGAAGATTGGTGTACAAGGACCACATGCTGCAAAATTATGGTATGATGACAATATTGGGGCGGCTAAATATCTTTGAACACATCCAGTGTTCCATGCTCACACAAAACATACAGAAGTTGACCATCATTTTGTCCCCTTTTGGAGATTAAAGGCATGTTTGGTTGGTGACTAGAACTTGCCAATCACAGGTTCGTCATACCACAATTTTTTTTCAGCTGTTTGGTTCACTGTCACAGCTATGGCATGCCACACTTTTTTAGCACCTTGGTCCACATGTCATAGACTCATTTATTTGCCGAACTTTGCCACAAGTGTGGCTTCAATTTTGCTTGCCGCACTTTCTGTGGTAGCCACAGTTTGCCAAAGGTCGGGCGCAGCAAATTACGGCATGAACCAAACAGACCCCAAATCGCATATGGAGTCACTGAAGCTCTACCTGTACGGCAGTTGGAGAACTTCAAACTCCGCTGTGATTGAGGGAGGCTGTTAGAAGTAGCAACCTTGTTATATATCAACAAACTGAACTAGCTTGATATGCGTATCATATTAGATCCTTTGGAATTTGTTGTACTTTAGGATTGTTGATCAAGTCTGTTATAACTAACAACCTTGTGTAATCGAGGGTTGGGGATATTTCAACCCTATATAAAGCCTGTTTGGCAGGGCTCCTCTCCGGCTCCGGCTCTGGCTCCTCCAGAGGAGCCCTGCCAAACATTTTTCTGGAGGAGCCGTTTTTCAATAAAAAGCAGAGGAGCTGGAGCTGTTTTGGAGGAGTCACAATTTATGGCTCCTCTAAAACGGCTCTGGCTCCTCCAGAGGAGCCCCTCAGGATGAGCCCTACCAAACAGGTCCATAAACATGCAGGCACGCCCAGGAAAAAGGTGCCGCTTCTCCTAGACGCTTTTGCGCCTCTGATCACCTTTTCAACCATAGCACTGATTCATTGAACAATGTCTGTGTCTTTGTATATCCAGTTTCCAGTTCGTTGATTTAAGAGGAAGATACTCTATATTCGGATATTCAGTACCCAGCTGGCCAGCCCAGCCCAGCCCGGCCGCAGCTAACATCTAAACCACAGAACAAGGTAACCAAAATCTATTTTGCTTGAACACTGTCGATCAGCTGCTGGCGCTGCCGTCGCTAAAAGCACATGTAAATCCTGCATCTGAATTGATGTCTCAGCTACCCACTGCACCCGCAGCAGCTTCAGCCGCCAACGATGTTTCTCCTGTTTCAGTCTTCCAGTGGTCTCGGCTCTGAAGATCCCGGTTGGCGCATGCACTCCTCCGGCAACCGGAAAACGCAAGATGTTCAGTCATCTGCGGCATTTTGCAACTCTGGGCTGTTTGTTTCCGGGCAACAAGCAAACAACCTTCAAGATTGCAACTTCTGATCAGTGCAAACGCTGAAGGAACAAACGAAGACAGACCTGATTACCTGAAGCTTGTGCTTGTAAACACCTGCCATCCGACATTGCGTTCGGCACCTTCTGCAACTCCCACACTGGCTTCCAAGATTCACTTGCAGGCTGCTGCTGCAAGGATCTAGTGGACCAGTGGCATCTTCAGGCTCAGGGGTATCCTGTTGCTCCGAACATCCGGCTACCAGCTCCTGCTCAGAACAGATGCCAATGTAGGCTCAGTGCCAAGTTTGCAGGCACAGCTCTTCTCTCTTTTTTACACGTTTGCAGGTACAGCTTATACAGCTTAATTAAAGTGGTCTTCTTCTATCCGGTAGCTCTTGAACACACAAGTATGTTCACTCATTAGCAGAGCAGGTAGCAGCACCATCCTGTATGTAATGGCACCGTCTGTCAGGGTTATACTGCAGATGGATTAACCATGGCAAATGCAGAGTGATTACCACTACTATCACCCAGTGTAGCATGCATCAGTCTCTTTTACTACATGACAGTACCAGAAACGTCAATGATGATGCTGCTCCTGTAGGGGGAGGAAGGTACTTAACTTTTATTGATGAGAAAACACAGGGAGGTGGGACCCACAGGTGGCAAAAGGGTCTTCTGGCACGCGTACACCTACGCAACCACACAGGCGTACTGTAGTACTGGTATATCTCAGAGGGACTTTTCCTGTTCGGTGGCTTGCCCTGACGTGATTTTAACCCTCTACCTGAAATGGCCAGAATGCCCTTCCTGCCGCCTGGTTAAGCTAACTGCGACGGTGGGTTACCCGCACAGGCTGGCATCGCTTCACTGAAAATGGACCGAATAAAGTGGCGTATACGTACACCAGTATACAAGTAGTAATATGATTCATATACGCCGTGGGTCCCACCCTCTGGGGATATTTATGAGCCCCACTTCCTTTCACATGCAGGTACTCTCTGTTAACGTCACACCTCCTGCCAATAATTAAGTCTTTTTTTTAAAAAAAATCTAAAATTAAGTTATACTCCTTCTGTTCAGAAAAAAAAACATAACTCTAGCTTACAACCTGGACAAAGATTCAAAATTAGAATTACGTTTTTTTTTCTACGAAAGAGTATATATATATATATATATAGTATAATAGTGCACTTTAGTCCAGGTGGCGAAATGACAGGGTAGTCCCTGTGCTACTCTGAACCGTGGTTAAGTTTGGGGCACCCTTAAAAATTAGTATTTGGCATCAAATGAGGGCAAAGTTCAAAACAGACTCGGATTTTTTTTACTCTACCTTGCTGCAAGTCACCTACTTTTTTCCTACAAGTACCCCCGGCACTCAATTTTTTTTTTTGGCGAGGTTGACTGAGAATTTGAGCAAAAAGAGAGAAAAAGAAAAAGATCTGTATTTTAAGCCCCTGAATATATTTGGGGAAAAATACAATTTCGAAGGTGTTCGTGGCTTCGAATCTCCGTCAATTCGCTCCGCTCCTCCAACGGATCCACTCAGGTACTTTCAGACATCGATTCCCCTCCTTCTTAGCTTCCGATCGAGCTACGGTTCGCGGCTCATGGCGGCGTGGGGCTGCAGATCGAGGCGCTAGGGTTTGGGGTCGCCGCCTCTGGGATCAGCCTGCGCCGCGCTCGCCGGCCGCCGCCAGATCTCGCCCCGCACCTACGGAGCTCCTCTTCCTCCACCTCGCTGGCCCGTGCCGCCGTAGCTCTCAGTATTCCTCTAGCGGATCGCCCATCCCCACTCCCCATCCAAGCGCCTCTAAAAATTCGGGATCGCCCCGTCCCGTCGCCAACTGCACACGGTAGGTTCGATTCGAGCTGGATTGGTGGGGTGGGGTATCTGCTGTCTAGTGTTCATTTCGGATTCAGCTGCTCTGCTCCTCCTTTCGCGGCCTGGCCTGCTAAAGTTTGGGGTTCTAGGTTTTCTGCTCCTCGTGTGCAGCTGTGCTGCAAGTCCCCATTTCGGTGCAAATTTTAGTAACTGGTGCTTCGTTTCTTCCTTCTGTTCTCGAATATTCGTCACGCTGTCACGTTTTGTGTAGGTTGTGGTGCTGAAAATCCAGCTTTGGGATTGATGCGAGTGTAGTAAGTTCTTGCTCGGTGGTTGGCCTTGGGCTCTTCTGTTCAATCCCAAGAGTCGAGGCCAACCGAGTTCTGTGCTGAAGATGAAGATGGGTGCAGACCCAAGTACCCAGGATGTGATGGTGGAGGCAGCCCTCAAAGCAAAGCATGCAGCAGAGCGCAAGTTCCATGCACGTAACATCAAGGGTGCCTGGAGGTCAGCGCTCAAGGCTCATAGCTTGTGCCCATCACTTGAGGGCATATCTCAGATGATCTCAACACTTGATGTTCACCTTGCATCTGAGTCGAAGATTGATGGGGAGAGTGACTGGTACAGGATACTGTCTCTCAGTGCCATGGCTGATGAAGAGGAGGTGAAGAAACAGTACAGAAAGCTAGCTCTCCAGTTGCACCCAGACAAGAACAAGTCGGTTGGTGCAGAGGTTGCCTTCAGACTTATCTCGGAGGCATGGAGTGTATTGTCTGACAAGAGCAGGAAGATGCTTTATGATCAGAAGAGGAGAGATCATTGTGCGGCGAATGTGTCCAATGGTTTGTATGCTTGTGATACAAAGGTCAGTAAGCGAGCACGAAAAAATGCCGCTGCCGCTGCCGCTGCCGCTGCCTCTGCCTCAGCAGCTGTCGAGGCTACTACTCGTCCTGCAGGGGCTAACACGTTCTGGACATCATGCAACCGCTGCAGGATGCAGTATGAGTACTTGAAAATTTATCTGAACCACAACCTTCTGTGCCCAAACTGTCACCATGCATTCATGGCTGTAGAAACTGGGTTTCCCTGCAATGGAACCAGTTCTTCATTCACCTGGACAACCAAGCCACAGCAGCAGCAGAACCAAAATACTGTTGTTGACCATTCATATCAATCAGCAAGCAGAACATCAAGCGTTCCAGGCACCGGACATGGAGCATACCAGCAAGAGAACACTTATGAGTTGTACAATAACCAAAGTTTCCAGTTCACTCAGTACCCCAAGACAACAGGCGCTGCTGCTACAAATGGTTACAGTACACAGGCCTTAGAGAAATCAAAGAGAAAACATGAAGAGAACTACATATACAATTATTTTTCAAGTGGCAATGACAATGAGTATCCATCAGGGCGTGGACGGCATTCAAAAAGGAGGCGGAGATTCAGTAATGGCTATGCATCTGTGGACTGCAATGGGGAGACTCTAGCTGCAACTGCAGGTATGACTGTGATTGCCGATGGAGGAAGAGTTAATGGTACATCAGGGGAAAAGTTTAGATCTGCAGTAAGTGCAAGAAAAGCTAATGTCTTGAGGGAGATCTTCCAACTTGACACCCGTGGTATTCTTCTTGAGAAAGCCAAAGCAGAAGTTCGTGAAAAATTACAAGGCTGGAATATTTCGACATCTAGCCAGTTTGCCGAGAAAGGGAAATCAGAAAGAAGAGAGAAGCATGTTGAAAACAATATAAAGGTTAATGGCATCTTCTCTGACAATCCAATCAATAAATGCAAGAAATACAGTTCAAAAGATGCAGATATCGAGATCCCTGTGACTGATGTATTGAATCCAGAACAGATGCGTGTACCTATGTCCATTGATGTCCCTGACCCAGATTTCCATGACTTTGATAAAGATCGAACAGAAAGAGCCTTTGGCAAAGATCAGATCTGGGCTACATATGATAGTGAAGATGGCATGCCTCGCCTATATGCAATGGTACAGAAAGTTATTTCAATGAAACCTTTCAGGATACGAATGAGCTTCCTCAATTCTAAGTCCAACAATGAACTGGCACCAATAAACTGGATCGCCTCAGGTTTTACGAAAACATGTGGTGATTTTAGGATTGGAAGATACCAGATTACTGAAACAGTCAACATCTTTTCCCACAGAGTTTGCTGGAGTAAAGGTCCTCGGGGAATTATCAGGATTATTCCCCAAAAAGGTGATACATGGGCTGTGTACCGGAACTGGTCTCCTGATTGGAATGAACTTACACCAGATGATGTGATATATAAGTATGAGATAGTAGAAGTGATCGATGATTTCACTGAAGAGCAAGGTCTGAGTGTTGTCCCGTTGCTGAAGGTAGCTGGTTTCAAAGCAGTTTTCCACAGGCTCACGGGGCCCGATGTGGTCAGAAGAATACCGAAGGAAGAGCTTTTCCGCTTCTCTCATCGGGTTCCTTCTCGCCTGCTCACTGGTGAAGAAAGAAATAATGCTCCAAAAGGTTGCCATGAGTTGGACCCTGCTGCAACTCCAGTTGACCTGCTTAAGATTATTACAGATGTTAAGGAAGATACCACACAGTGAAGCTCCGAGTAGAACTCAACTTGTCTGTCCTACAGACTTGCAACTGCGAGCTAGCATGGCTGAAGTCTCATTACGTTGTTCACTCACTGGTCAGCATCATATGGCTCACTTGCCTTAATCTATCATTGAACTTCTGGATGACGATGAGGACTTTATTAGGCATTTCTAACATTTAATTTTATGTAATATCGATATCGTATAGAGCAAACGATTATCGAGAGGCTGCATATTGTGCTGAGGCCAGTTCTCAAAATGGCAGGCCTCATGACTTGTTGCGAGGTAGGTGCCACTAAGTGATACTTGTCTGTAAGGTTATGTCAAGTAAGAGCGTACTTAGAGACTGCTGCCTGGCTTTACTCTGTACCCGCACTCATTTACTTATCATGTTGTATTTTCATTAATGCATAGCATAATCCTTATATTATCTATCGTATTAAGTTATTTTGATTAAATATTATGTCTTTTCTGTGGTGCCAATTACTCTTCTACTCTTGTTCAGACGAGTCTTACAAATGGTCTGTAAATGTTCAGAGGTTAATCGGTTTCACATATTTACAGTGTGGAAGACAGACTATCATTGTGGTAGAAATATGGTTCCTGTAGATTATATACGGTATACCATTCTAGAAGAATATGTGAATTGACCGTATTAATACCATTCTAGAAGAATGTGTGAATTGACCGTATTAATACCGATCTTATGGATGGATGGTTTGCCTTGGTACCACGGCGAATTTAGTTTGGCATAATGTGTATTTGCAGAACAGTAATTTCATCATTCTAGGCCAAATAAGCATAACTGTCCTGATTCCAACTCCAACATGAAATGCATCTTGTTGATCAGTGTATGATACATTCCATGCCATTTGAAGGCGGTGTTGTCAGTCCAGTGACCAAAATTTGTCCAATGAATCCAACAAACTGCAGTGTGACCCCGAAAAAATGGGTAAGCTAAATGCTGTACTCAAAGTAGAATCAGCAGCTGCATACAACAATGGGTTGATGCTTCAGGCTAACATCGAGGATCCAACAATGATAATGACGTCTAGTCATTTTGCAGTTAGCCACAGATTGATAATCTCGTATTGAATCACAAAATAATTGAGATACAGACATTTCAGTGGTAGACGACAATGGCACCTTATCAGTATCGCTAAAGGCCCAATTATCACCAGATATCTTGAGAGCACAATATGTGGATGGCGTTGTTCACTGCTATTCTGCTAACATCGAACATGGCTGTCGATGACGATGCAACTCATCTCTGTTCCCCTTTTTCTTTTTGCAACACTTTCGCCGGATGAAAATAATAATAATGAGAACAAAAAAGGGAAAAAGTACAATATATTTAAGTCTCTCATAAACGATCAAGTTGCAAGACTGGCACTGAAGATGCCAACTGTTTCACCATCGCACTAACTGTCTGTAAAGGTACGCTTGGATGTACTGATGTACAGAACTGCATTCAGAAGACTGCTATCAGAATTTGCGCGATATAGATCTCAGAATATCCTTATCGTATTGTACGTACCATTATTTCCTCTTATGAAGGCATCACCGTATTTATTCTTTAGCTGACCATTGATGTATTCTTCAGTTTGCTCCATCGCAATGTTCATGTATCCATCAAGACAAGCCAGAATACCTGATTTGGATCAGGGAAACTCCACTAGTGTGATTGACCAAGCAATGGGTTTAGCAAATTCGTTTTTCAGTTATTCATACAATAGAAATAGAAACAGAGAGAAAAGTATTCTTCAGCATGTAAGCGGGCCTAATCCATAAATATGGGCACTGATTATTGGCCACCATGAGTATTAAAGTGGAGAAATTGGAAATGGATCTTCTAGCGAATTCAACACAATTTGACATACTGGATACACTAGGAACATGGAGTCACAAATTCTGTAGACATCCGGTGTACTTTATTTTAAAAGGAATAAGGAAATTCTTCTTCATACAAGTGACATACATCCTAGGTTGTTTTTTATTGAAGATTATAAGAAACTCGACGTAGGTCAAATATTCACAAGGGTATACAAACATGTAGTAGCACTTAGCAAGGAAACTAATGCAATTAATAACAGGACTAACAACTAGCAACTGCATATGGACATGTACCAACATATTCAGAGAAACCCCAACCATATCATCATAGCATCAACATTTTTGTTTAAGGGCAGGAATCAGATCAAAATGAAAGTGAAATTTCGAAGTATAACACTACCATGTGGCTTATGCTTTGAAGAAAGGCTAGAAAATATAGCCCGTAGGGACTGCATACACAATTTTGGCTTGGCTCGTCCAAGCCACAAACCAAACACACCCTACATATCTATTACAGGGCATTCAATACTCCAATGAAAAACATGCCAATAATCGTACAGAAAACCACACCTATCTGACTATCCAAAATCACAACTTTCACAGGAATATCTCACCTCTCCACTGTCCCTGAATCATAATCCTTGTTAGAGCACCACACAATTATCTCTGAAGTCATAACACACTCCATGACTTAGAACTGGTAAAGTAATCCATGATGCTAACAGCACAGGGCAGGACAGAGTCGTATGCATAACCAAAACACCAGGCTTAAAACTCTACAGGGGATTTGTTCAAAAGCCAAATCTACAGGTGATTCCTAGGGTTTAATTTAATGTATGAATCTGATTAGCCACGTTGAAATCGCTTAAGCAAGACCAAAATTCTCATGGGAATCACAATATCATATTCTATCGCGGTTGTCACGCTCCATCAAGCACAAGTTATCTTTATAAGGAACAATAAACAAAATTTGCCCCATTGTTCTGCATAAACACAATAAAGACAGGGTACAAGTTATCTTTACAAGTTGTCACCTAATATCTTTACAAGTTATTACCTCTGCATAAACAAAATTTGCCACATTGCTCCATCAAGCACAAGTTATCTTTACAAGTTATCACCTAATAATATCCCCAGCTAAACACAATAAAGACAGGGTACATGTTTCTCCTGGAATTAAGAATAAAAATAGTTGAACAAGCATGACTGTACCTCTAGGAGGGTTTGGAACATTGTTAGATGTGGGCGAAGGGCGAAAGGTGAGAATCAGAGCGGAGGGCTGAGGTGACCTCGGTAGTCGACGCCGGAGTTGAGCTTGACAACGACGGGGCGGCCCCTGATGGACTTGAGGAAGTCCGACGGCGTCTTCATCGTCCCGCCGGCGCCCGAGCCGGGCCTGTCGCCGCCGCCGCCGCCGCTCATCTTGCGCGCTGTGCCCGGTGTGGCGGTGTCCCTGTGTTGCGGATTGAGGGTGGGCCAGGTGGGTGCGACCCGTTTGGACTCCGCCCGGAGCCGCCTGATCCCTGGTCGGTGTCAGTGCCGTTTACTCTGGGTCCCACATGTCAGTACCGTCTGTAGATGACAACAACCCGTCGTCAGTCGTGTCCAAAATATCCTTTCTTCCTTTTTTTTCGCGAATATCCTATCTTCTTTTTCCAAAATCTCCTTGACGCACTCTGTCGTGTACCAGCGCGCAGTGGAAACCACGTTTGTAATAAATAAACGCCGACACGTCGGTCCCACATCGACAGGCCCCACCGACCAGAGAGTAGCGTGTACGTTTTCGGGCGAGGGACGTGGCGCCGTCGTCTTGCGAGTCCCATTCCCATCTGAGCCACACATCTCTGAACAAAAGCAGGGAGGCCTCCACGCACATCCCCCTCCGTGCCACCCGCCCCCAAACCCTCGCGCCGCCTCCGAGACAGCCGCCGCAACCATGGCCACCGCCGCCGCCGCCGCCGCCGCGCTCACCGGCGCCACTACCGCTGCGCCGAAGGCGAGGCGCCGGGCGCACCTCCTGGCCGCCCGGCGCGCCCTCGCCGCGACCATCAGGTGCTCCGCGGCGTCACCCGCCACGCTGACGGCTCCCCCGGCCACCCCGCTCCGGCCGTGGGGCCCCACCGAGCCCCGCAAGGGCGCCGACATCCTCGTCGAGGCCCTCGAGCGCTGCGGCGTCCGCGACGTCTTCGCCTACCCCGGCGGCGCGTCCATGGAGATCCACCAGGCACTCACCCGCTCCCCCGTCATCGCTAACCACCTCTTCCGCCACGAGCAAGGGGAGGCCTTCGCCGCCTCCGGCTTCGCACGCTCGTCGGGCCGCGTCGGCGTCTGCGTCGCCACCTCCGGCCCCGGCGCCACCAACCTAGTCTCCGCGCTCGCCGACGCGCTGCTCGACTCCGTCCCCATGGTCGCCATCACGGGACAGGTGCCGCGGCGCATGATTGGCACCGACGCCTTCCAGGAGACGCCCATCGTCGAGGTCACCCGCTCCATCACCAAGCACAACTACCTGGTCCTCGACGTCGACGACATCCCCCGCGTCGTGCAGGAGGCCTTCTTCCTCGCCTCCTCTGGTCGCCCGGGACCGGTGCTTGTCGACATCCCCAAGGACATCCAGCAGCAGATGGCGGTGCCGGTCTGGGACACGCCCATGAGTCTGCCTGGGTACATTGCGCGCCTTCCCAAGCCTCCTGCGACTGAATTGCTTGAGCAGGTGCTGCGTCTTGTTGGTGAATCGCGGCGTCCTGTTCTTTATGTTGGCGGTGGCTGCGCAGCATCTGGTGAGGAGTTGCGCCGCTTTGTGGAGATGACTGGAATCCCAGTCACAACTACTCTTATGGGCCTTGGCAACTTCCCCGGCGACGACCCACTGTCTCTGCGCATGCTTGGTATGCATGGCACAGTGTATGCAAATTATGCAGTGGATAAGGCCGATCTGTTGCTTGCATTTGGTGTGCGGTTTGATGATCGTGTGACAGGAAAGATTGAGGCTTTTGCAAGCAGGGCTAAGATTGTGCACATTGATATTGATCCGGCTGAGATTGGCAAGAACAAACAGCCACATGTGTCCATCTGTGCAGATGTTAAGCTTGCTTTGCAGGGCATGAATGCTCTTCTGGAAGGAAGCACATCAAAGAAGAGCTTTGACTTTGGTTCATGGCACGATGAGTTGGATCAGCAGAAGAGAGAATTCCCCCCTTGGGTATAAAACTTTTGATGAGGAGATCCAGCCACAATATGCTATCCAGGTTCTTGATGAGCTGACAAAAGAGGGGAGGCCATCATTGCCACAGGTGTTGGGCAGCACCAGATGTGGGCGGCACAGTACTACACTTACAAGCGGCCAAGGCAGTGGTTGTCTTCGGCTGGTCTTGGGGCTATGGGATTTGGTTTGCCGGCTGCTGCTGGCGCCGCTGTGGCCAACCCAGGTGTCACTGTTGTTGACATCGACGGAGATGGTAGCTTCCTCATGAACATTCAGGAGCTAGCTATGATCCGAATTGAGAACCTCCCAGTGAAGGTCTTTGTGCTAAACAACCAGCACCTTGGGATGGTGGTGCAGTGGGAGGACAGGTTCTATAAGGCCAACAGAGCACACACATACTTGGGAAACCCAGAGAATGAAAGTGAGATATATCCAGATTTCGTGACAATTGCCAAAGGGTTCAACATTCCAGCAGTCCGTGTGACAAAGAAGAGCGAAGTCCATGCAGCAATCAAGAAGATGCTCGAGACTCCAGGGCCGTACCTCTTGGATATAATCGTCCCGCACCAGGAGCATGTGTTGCCTATGATCCCTAGTGGTGGTGCTTTCAAGGATATGATCCTGGATGGTGATGGCAGGACTGTGTATTGATCTAAATTTCAGCAAGCACCGCCTCCCTGCCTTTCTTTGACATGCATATGAGCTAGTACAAGGGTGATAGGTGTTATCTATGTGATGGTCTCCTGTGTTCTATCTTTTTGTAAGCCGTCAGCTATCTTTAGTGTGCTTGTTTGATGTACTCTGTTATGGTAATCTTTTAAGTAGTTTCCTACCTTGTAGTTGTGTAGTCTGTTGTTTTTGTGCTGGCATATCTGTCATAAGAGGTCATGTAAGTGCCTTTTGCTACAGATAAATAAGGTAATAAGCATTGCTATGCAGTGGTTCTGAATTGGCTTCTGTTAACAAATTTAGTTGCCCAACTGGTCCTTGCTTTTGTTTTAGTTCTTTTTTCCTTGCTTATTTATTATTATTGTTAATTCCAACTCAACATATGATGTATGGAAGGATGCACATTTGTGCATGAAAGGGCTACTTATATCCAATTTGTTCTTATAAGTATGTTCCTTCATGTGCACTCAAATCGGCTCAATGTGTTATTTGCCATTACAAGTCGTTCAATCCTTCGCACTCAAAGTGGGCTCAAGTTCCATTTTAAAATAAATAAATAAAATTGGCTCAAGTTTCCTCGTGTGCGGACGCAATGCACGCGAAACGAAACGCTGGTCAAAGAAGTCTAACGCTTTCCACGACGCTGATGTGCCGGTGCTGAAGAAGACAGCGGAGGCTGAGGCTTGAACGGTAAAGCTATCGTTTGTTTTGATTGATTGCCAATCCATTTCCCAAAGGTATGGATCAAACATCTCAACTTGCACATATATTTTGCTATTATTATTATAAGACTGATACCAGCGAGACTTCCTTTCTTGAGGTTCAACGAGGGGCATTCTATCCACTCGATATTCCTTGAGCTATAGCATTCCACTATGAAAAGAAAATAACCAGATAGAAGTAAATTGTCGGGGACCTAATACCGAGGTACCCAATGAGGTGGAACTAATAACAATCAAACGTTAACGTTTTCGGTCAGACAAGAACGCTACTACATTTCTTGCCCGAACAACGGAAGATTGGTTCCGCCGCCCGACCTCTAAGGGCTAGACTCGCCTCGTCGACGCCTTTGAGGGTGGCTCCGCGCCGCGGCGCTTGAGAGGAAGGGGCTCTCGCCTCGACGGCCGAGGGTCGGCTCGCTCCGCCTCACCGACGTCTCGCGCTCTGCTCCTTCATAATGACGAGCCTGTGGTACGACAGGACATTCGAGTCAACCGCAGTACCAAGGACCATGCCCTGCACGGCTGCAGGAAGGTACCATCAGGATACGACGGGACGGACGCTTTAAGCCCTTTTCGACCTAACGGAGCCCGAACAGTGTTGTAGGCGCTGACTTTTGTCCTACAGTGTTGTAGACACCGCCATCGCCCTCGGCGTGGATACTAACACGGCATACGACAACCACTACATAGTCTAAGAGAGAACTCACGTCATCAACGAAGAATGCATTTAATAGTCACTTCCCCGTCTACTCCCCGTAGAGTCAAGGCTCGGCACCCTGACACACCGCACCATCCGCCGGGGGAGGATGGGACGTGACCACTCGCTGAAACAAAGCCAGAGCCTGGCCCTATCAGGATCAGCGAAGCATGCTATCCCTGGCGTGGTCTGCCATGACAACAGGGCAGGCTCAAGGGAAAAGGAAGACACGGCACCTTCGAAGGATATTCTCTACCTTTGGGTTTTTTTGTCTTTCTCCCATCTCAGAAACCCCTGCCCCCTTGGTCTATAAAAGGAGGGCGGGACGCCCACTAGGGGGAAGGATCAATTCCACAGACAACATACGCCCAAGCAAAGAACCGAGCTCTTGGCATCCTTTTGACCTTTTTATCAGAGACTTGGGACCTGTCCCTCTCTCGATCGTTTGTACCCCCTACTACGAACCTTTTTTGGTACTAATAACACGAGCAACAGCAAACTGGACGTCGGGATGTTCTGCCTGAACCAGTATAAACCTTGTGTCCTTTAGTACACCATCCGAGCCTAATGCGCAACAAATATAAATTTACTAGTTGGTGTTTGTTCGAAACACCGACAGTTGGCGCACCAGGTAGGGGCCTTTGTGCGTTCCAAATCAGGCCTTGGATGGCTAGCCACGCAATCAGCAGGGTCCCGGGCGCACACATGCGTTTCGGTGACCTGGACTTCATCGTCACGGTGGGAGGAGAGTTGGCGTTGGCCCACTCCGCCATCCAATCTCTCCCCTCCATCGGCTTCAACTACGGGAGGCTTGAGCGCCAGCCCAGCGTCTACCTTGGACCCCAAACCGTCCGTGGAGGACCCACGCCACCTCACCTCTCTCCGAACACTCAAGACCGATCGAACAAGATATCGATACGGGGCAAAGGATACTTGTTTTTGATGGTCATAGCATTAAGTGGTCTATAATCCACACACATTCTCAAGGACTTGTCCTTCTTCTTCACAAACAATGCTGGACATCCCATGAAGATGAACTGGGTTGAATGAGACCTTTGTCCAATAGTTCTTGTAACTAAATTTTAAGTTCTGCTAACTCATTTGGTGACATCCTATAGGGTCTTCTTGAGATAGGTGCCGTACCTGGCACTAACTCAATCTTAAATTCCACATCCCTATCAGGTGGTAAACCTGGTAACTCATCTGGGAATACATCAGGAAACTCACAAACCACTGGGATATCACATAGGGTAGTGGCTTGGATAGCACATGCCAAGTTCTGGAGTTCAAAGTTGTGGGAAAGTAGTACTAGGAAAGCATTACCTCCCTTTGGCTCTCTCAACATAACTGTCTGAGTGCTAGTGTCAATGAGAACACCATGATGTTTCATCCAATTCATGCCTAAGATCACATTTATAGATAATCCGGGCAATATTATCAGATCCGTTGTATACTCCCTTCCTTGTATAGAGATGTGCACATTTTTAACCATCTTATTTGTAGAGATAGTGGCCCCAGCAGAATTTATACTATAACCACCCTTGCTCACCTCAACTATTTTTTGATCATGTCTAGATGCAAATGCTTGGCTCATAAACGAATGAGAAGCTCCCGAATTGAATAAAACAATTGTAGGATGCTTGTTGACAAGAAACATGCCAGCGGTGACCACCTCTCCTGCGGGCACTTCTTCAACAGCAGTATATTGCACGTATCCAGGACGTGCCTTAGGGTTCGACTGCCTCTGATTTCCTTGGTTCTGATTGCTGATCTTCTTAGGATGGGGGCATTCCTTGGCCCAATGACCTACTTGATTACAGTTGAAGCAAGGTTGATTGTTCTTGGATCCTATGGAGCTTCCTTGCCCTCCATTCCCCTTGGGTAAGGCAATGGTGAATGCCTTATGGAATACCTTCTGAGGTCGGAACTTGGGTGCTGGTGGTCGAAATGGTGGCCTAGCTACCACTAGAGCTCCGGACTGTGAAGATCCTGAGGCACCCACCTCAGCTGCCCTCTCGTGGCTCTTTGCTGCCGCATGCAGATTGTTTTGGTTTTCTTGAGTCAATGCATCACTGATGAACTCGTTGTAGGTGGTGCACTTGGAGTTGGCCATAGTCTTCATCAACTTAGTGCCAAGACCTCGCTTGAAGCTTTCTATCTTCTTTTCTTCGGTGTCAAGAAAACCTAGGGCATAACGGGACAGGTTGTTGAAAGCATGCATATATTCAGTAAGGGTCTTTGTCCCTTGCATGAGTCTCATAAATTCATCCGCCTTCATGCGCATTAGCCCTGGGGGAATGTGATGTCCCCGAAAGGTCAACTTGAATTGCTCCCACGAGACCTGTGCATTGGCAGGTAAGGAGGACAGGAAATGGGTTCACCAAATCCCTGCCGGTCCCTGTAGCTGATGGGACGCACACTCTGCCTTCTGGTGCTTGGTGACCCTCAGTAGACATAACTTTTGCTCAATTGTGTTGAGCCACTCGTCCGCCTGGAGCGGTTCCTCAGCCACCTTGAAGATAGGAGGCTTTGTATCTAGAAAATCCTTGAAGGTGCTGTACTGGTTTGGCTAAGGCACCTATTGCTGTGGGTGGGCATGAGCCATGTTCTACGTAATGAGGCACATAGCTTCCTCCATAGTCCTTTGGCTTCCCAAGAATTGGGCAAAGAACTCCTGAGCAGATGGTGGTGGCGGTGGTGGTAAGTCACCGTCATTGCCATCATGGCTGCTGCTAGCTCCGGCATGAGTGCGAGTCATCTACAAAGTTGCAACAATAAGTGATTATTGGATGATGTCAAGAGATTGCAGATGAATTGTATAATTATGCCCAATTGAAATTACTGGAGAGAATCTTAAATTCATACAATAAAAATAGAGGCATAATAATTTATTCTCGCAACATGACATCACCAATTTGATTACTTATCGGGCTCACAGCGTGTTAACATACTAGTCACTAGGCGACTCTAATCTTCATTAAGATCGCTGTCGAGGTCGAAGATAGGATCATCCTCATTCTCTGGCTCCACTTCTTCCTCGTCCTAGCCGTCGTCTTCTACTAACATTTCTGGATCTTCGTCTTCCTTACTAAGGATCGGGTGCAGTTGGTTGTTTAGATAATGCACCTCATATGAAGATCCATCACTACATCTTCGGGCCCGTGCAAGTCTGTCTGGCGCAAGTCCCTCTAGGTATACTTCATTCACAGTGATAGAGGGCGGTTCATAATAACCCGCAAAGTGCGAGACTCTCCAAAACAAAGCAGGAGTTCCAACATCAACAGAAACTCTCGTGAGACAAAGTCATAATGGATAAGAGTTACATAACCGAGTAGAGATCTATAAGGGGAGGAACACTGTAATTATTGAATAATTATTATCATGGTGCATGCACGTTCCGTACGTCCTCACAAACTTAGGAAAAATTATTTCTAACGACATACACGGTGGCATACATACGTTCTCTCATATATAGCGTAACTAGTCGAGCTACACGTTTTGTTGTTAGTGTACCTGTATAAGAGTTTCATTTCAGCCCAAACCCCACAATTATATATGCAGAA